GAGATCCGTCAGCTCCGGACCCTCCTGTTCTACGCCTAAGCGCCCGGTTCCGAATAACGAGCCCGCGGATTCCGAGGAGCCATCCTGCGCCGTGGCCCATGTCCTGAGTCTGGCAAACCGCTATGCAGCCCTCTCCACTGACATCCCGGCCCCCTCAGCAGAATCCCTGGACACTGCAGCGTACTCTACTGCTCGAGGATCCAAGTCCACTACGAGGAAAACGCTCCTAAAGGAAGCAGTCCTCAGGCGAAAGAGCGGTCCACCGGCCATGTTGGCCTGTTCCCCTTCTTTGACCCCAGTGCAGCAGCCTCAGACTGGGGTAGCGAGCCATCATTACCACCGCTCACCTCCACTGGGTCAGCAGCAGCGCCCAGAGCCAGCCCCTCTCACCGCTCCAGCGTCCCCGAGCACACAGCGTGGGTCGCCTGTAGCTGAGAGTCAGCACCCCCGCTCCTCCTCTCCATGTGTTCAGCGGCGCTCGGGTCCTGCTTCGGGTGAACCCGCTGGTTCCGTCCACCGAGCTCCTTCTCCGAGGCCGCGTCCACGTCCACTCTTCGCCCCGACCACTCTGATTATTGGAGATTCCATCGTGAGACACGTCCGCTTTTTTAACGCGGTCACTCGCTGTATTCCCGGAGCTACTGTACCAGACCTGCTCATACGTCTCCCTCCTCTGCTTCAGTCCCTGCCTGATACCGTTTCCAAGGTAGTCGTGCATGTGGGAATTAACGACATGAAACTTCAGCAGTCAGAAGTCACGAAGAAACATTTTATGGATCTGTTCCACCTCCTTCAATCCTCCGGATTATCTGTTTTTATTTCTGGTCCAATCCCGACTGTAAGCAGAGGCGACTGCCTCTACAGTCGTGTTGTGGCGCTGCATATGTGGATCCAGGCTACATGCAGCTCTTTTAACTTTGTCTTTGTGAATAACTTTGCCCTTTTCTGGAAACGTTACGAAGCCTATCGTCCAGACGGATTACACCCAAACAGATACGGTAGCAGCCTGTTGATGGACTACATGCGTTACGTTGTTCAGCGTTCCCCGAGGGGGGCGTGACTGTTTACATCTGAGCCCCCTCGGACCCCACCGCACTCCCCCGCCTCCTGCTCACCAGCACCGGGTGAGTACAACGGTGAAAACACTGCTCCCTGTCCGTCTGGCAGTGTATTACCAGTCCAAACACTGAACTGTGCTGACTTCCTTCTGATTCTGGGAGCTAAAGAACAACAAGGGTTTTCACATTTTAGGCCAATTGAGACTGTGTGTGTTCCTCGCACCAGCTCAAAAATGTTTTTAAATTCTAAAAAACGAAATCAAAACAGGACAGCAGTTAGACGGTCCAACTCTGCAAATCTAATTTCTGTTCCCTGTAGAAATCAATCAACCACATTAATCGACTCTGACGTTATTTTTAAACTTGCTATGCTTAATGTCAGATCTCTATGTAACAAATCATTTTTAATTAATAATTTTATCACTTCTTATGATCTTGATTTTATGCTTATGGCTGAAACATGGCTGGACCAAAATACAGGAAATGCAGTTCTAATAGAAGCAACACCACCCAATTTTAAATTCGAATCCGAAGTACGAGAAAACAAAAGGGGGGGAGGCATAGCTGCAGTTTTTAGAGAGCACTTTGTCTCCCATAGAATGCCCCTTGGAAATTTTTCATCGTTTGAGTATATTTCTTTTAAAATGGAACAAAAGCAATCTTCTACTCTTTTCATTGTCCTGTACAGGCCACCACAGTCATGTTGCGATTTTATTGACCATTTTACTGAACTACTTTCATTCGTGTGCACAGATTTTGATAGTTTAGTTATTACAGGTGATTTTAATGTACATGTTGATAATGTTGATGACAGAAATGCAAAGGAGCTGGCTTCTGTATTTGAGACCTTTGGTTTCATTCAGCACGTGAGTGGCCCCACCCACAGCAGGGGGCACACTCTTGACCTGCTAATTACAAAGGGGGTTAATGTATCAAATGTTAATGTAGTTGATGTTGCTTTGTCAGATCATTTTTGTGTATTTTTTGACATGTGTTTTGCTAGCAAACCACCAGCTGAATTTACAATTGTTAGAAGAAGACACATACATGAAAACACAAGTGAACTGTTCATGGGAATGCTAAATTTTGAGAAAACTCCATGCTCTACTGTTGATGAATTGTATAACTCTGTCACCACCAGTGTTCTGACTGTTCTGGACGCCATTGCTCCTGTGACGGTTAAAATAGTTACCAGTAAGAAAAAGGCCCCATGGACTAAGGCAGACTCGGTCAGGGCACAGAAGCAAGAGTGCCGGAGGGCCGAACGGAAGTGGCGAAAGTCCAATTTCCAGGGCGATTATGAAATCTTTAAAGATGAGTTGGGTGAATTTAACCGGGTTCTACGTAGAACAAGAGAAATGTATTTTTCTGACATTATTGGAGGTTGCAGTAACAATTTTCGTGTTATGTTTGCAACAGTTGGTAGATTAACGAACCCCCCTGTAAAGTTGCCCCTAGAATTTTCCTCTAAATCTAGGTGTAATGAGTTCGCACAGTTTTTCGATGACAAAGTACAAGGAATCAAAAACACTATCACCTCCACAGCACGTATAACAATGCAACAGCCAGAGAAGCTTGTTGAGCTAACTCACTTTGCACCTGTGGATACTGAAACTGTCAAAAAGATAATCATGAGTCTGAGCTCCTCCACATGTAGCCTGGATATATTGCCCTCTAAATTTCTGAAGTCCGTCCTGAGCAGTTTGTTACCTTCACTGACACAAATAGTAAACATGTCTCTGTCGTCAGGAACATTTCCTATGGCCCTAAAAACAGCAGTCATAAGACCTCTCCTAAAAAAGAGCAGTCTGGATCCTGCGGGACTTCAAAATTATCGCCCCATATCGAATCTACCATTCATTGGAAAAATTCTTGAAAAAATGGCCTCCCAACAACTTACTGAATTTTTAACAATGAATAATTCTTTTGATATGTTCCAGTCTGGGTTTAGACCCCACCACAGTACTGAGACCGCTCTAGTGAAGGTAACAAACGACATTCGACTTCACACTGATGCAGGTAAAGTCACAGTTTTGGTCATGTTAGATCTTAGTGCCGCGTTCGACACTGTCGACCATGAGATCCTCATGCAGAGACTGGAGGACTGGGTTGGTGTCACTGGCACAGCCCTAGACTGGTTTAGGTCTTACCTGGAGGATAGGAAGTACTTTGTGGAGATTGGAGACTGCGTCTCAGATCATGTGGCCCTGACCTGTGGAGTACCACAGGGGTCGATCCTGGGACCTCTCCTATTTAATCTCTACATGCTGCCGTTAGGTCAGTTAATACAAAGAAACAAAGTGTCCTACCACAATTACGCCGACGACACTCAGATCTATGTCTCACTGACTGCAGGAGAACATGGACCACTGGATTTGCTCCTTCACTGTATCCAACAGATCAGTGACTGGATGCAAAATAATTTCCTCCAGCTAAATGCAGACAAAACCGAAATCATTGTCTTTGGTCCCCAGAAACAAAGAGAGGGCGTCATTTGTCAACTTCAGTCTCTCTCCCTACTTCCTTCAGACAAGGTCAGAAATTTGGGGGTAATACTGGACTCAGACCTAAATTTCAATAGCCACATAAAATCAATAACATCAACAGCTTTTTACCATCTGAAGAACATTGCCAAAGTTAGAAATATAGTGTCCAGGGCAGACTTGGAGATTCTTGTCCATGCATTTGTCTCCAGCAGGCTAGACTACTGCAATGGCCTGCTTACAGGTCTGTCCAAACAGACCTGTAAGCAGCTGCAGTACATCCAAAATGCAGCAGCTAGAGTCCTGACAGGAACCAGGAAGTATGACCATATTAGTCCGGTCCTCAGGTCTCTGCACTGGCTTCCTGTGGCTCAAAGAATAGATTTTAAAACAGCTCTGCTTGTGTACAAGTCTCTCCATGGCCTTGCACCAGAATACATTAGTGACATGTTGGGGTCATATGAACCGGCCCGGACTCTGAGGAGCACAGGGACTGGCCTCCTGCTGGTGCCCAGAGTGAGAACCAAACATGGGGAGGCTGCGTTTCAGATCCATGCAGCTAAGATCTGGAACAATCTCCCTGAAAATGTGAGGGAGGCGTCTACTCTGTCAATGTTCAAATCCAGGTTAAAGACTGTTCTGTTTGCCTGTGCATACAACTGAAGGATTTTATCTCCATTTCTAATGCACTGCTGTCATTTATTTTATTTATTTTTTTAAATTTCTTGTGTAATTTTGAAAGTTTTAATGGTTTTATTCTTTTGTGTGATTTTAATGTTTTAATTGTGTTTTAATCTTTTGTGTGATTTTAATGTTTTAATTGTGATTCTGGTGTTTGTTTTATGTGATGATTTGTGATGTGGACTGTGAAGCGCTTTGTGTTGCCCTGTGTATGAAAGGCGCTCTACAAATAAACTTTGATTGATTGATTGATTTATGTACTTTGTACAACTTGTTTTACTGTATAGTTTTTTCTTTACTCTGTATGCTCTATATGTATGTATTGATCTTGCTTTTAATGTGAAGCGCTTTGTGACCCTGGTCTGAGAAAGGTGCTATATCAATAAATTTTACTTACATTTACTTACTTACTTACTAAAAATCATTTTTTTTAATACAGAAAAATGTTCTGTAGATACTAAACTGGTTTGAACTGCCTTTGTTGGAGTTAAATAAATGTGTTTTTTCAGCGTGGATAAGCACTACAGAAGGGCTATTGAGCGCTAACACAGAGTGAGCTTGTGTCCCATAAAAGCTGCTTTCAAACACTGGACAAAATGGGTTGTGTGGCGATCTCGTTTCTTAATGTTACTTTGGATTTTTTTTCAAGAAAATCTAATCACATGATTTTTATACACATTTCAAAATATGTGTATTAAAATCAAAAAGGTTTTAAAAAAGGCTCTAACATGTGGTGATGGTGACATGCCTGGCTACTCAGTTGTACCTATGGTTGTACCTCATGGTCCTTGCTCTCTGCTGGCTCTCCGCTCTCCATGGGCTCGTCATGGGGGCTGCTCTGCTCTGTCGCGGGGGCTGAGGTGTCTGGAGGATGCCACTGAGCCGTGTTCACTGGAACCGGGTCACTGTCTGCCAACTGCTGACGGTACTTTTTCTTCAGGACCAAATATTTCTCACCCTGCACAGTGGAGACACATGAGATAATTTGTCTAAATTATGAAGACGTCGGGAATAGATGTTGCCCAAACATATTACAGTGTATTGTGCAGTTGCATATTTCATAATGCTTAACAAAACAAAGGACTTTACAACAATACATGTCCTAAACTAGAACTTGTGCAAAACGGATTTCATTCAGGGCTAAAAAGTCTTCTGCACTATAACAGAATAGACATGAATGCATAAACAATTTAATCTTTTTATTCACTAATATTACTTGAGGGAAGATGGAACAATATTATGACAAAAATAGTCTGTTTGTGAACTCTAGAAGGCTTTTGGAGAAGACATTTTTAATCCAAACAGTTAAATAAATAAATCAAATGTGAGAGCAATTTTTTCCACTAAATAAGACAACTTGCCGGTTATTCTAAATAAAATGACGATTTTAATTGTATCTACTGTGGTAAGTCTAATGTTCAACCCACTGTATGAATTGTAGGTTCCACAGTTTTATGTCCAATCTAGTTTTGAGATGAGCGTTAGTTGTTGTGGTTTTACTATGAGTGAAAAGAATGGTAAAAGAGGAATTGAAAACTGCAGCTGCTGATCCTTGGGAGTAAGCACTGAGTTTAAGTAGACTGAAAAAGTGCTCTCTTCAGCCCTGAATGTCAAACAAGACTAAACCAAATGTGTGCTTCCAAGGGAAAATAGTCCAAACTGTCCATAAATGGTAATGATTTAGAATAGTTCACTTACATTCTCTGACTTCACCACTGCTATTCGGTCGATTATGAGCTTGAACTCTTCTCTGTATTTGGCTGCAGGGAAAGAGAAAAAAAACATGTGAAAACTCAGGGTAGCAACCGATTTGTAATACATTAAGAGAGTGAAGCCTTTCTTGATGCTATTGATGTCATGGGCTTTAACATGGGGTCATTGATTGAAGGAATATACATGCTTCACTTTGCAATTCTGCTTTAAAAATGTTGGTATTAAATATTTCAAACATATACTAAAGGTCGTGGAATATGCCTTTGTCACACAACAGCTCTAATGTTCAGTGAAAAAGAATACACTTTAGGAGCAGCCACAGAAAACGCTCTGACTCAGTTCGGGCTACACAATTAATCGCAATCAAATCAAAATCGCAAATACAATTTGACCAGATGCTATTAGTAAATCACAAACAGTGCAATACCATCAACAAACAACATCTTGCTTTTGGGGTACATTCAGGTGTGAAAATGCAGCAAAGTAAAGAAACGGTGTAGATGAATTAAAGTAAGATACAATAGTGCAAAACAATAATTCCAAAGGTTTTGAGGAGCTAATCAAACTTCCTGAAAAGTCAACAAGGTCATAGCTGTTTATATTTATTTAATAAATAAATGACTACAATACAAAATAATTGTAGTTTTGTATGTGACTTCTGTTCTGTCTGAGTCATAAAAACTCTTATCTGAGCTCACAGTATGTTTTGATGCTTATGTCTCAATTGAAATGAATTCATTGAGTTTAACTACACGTATGATTTAAAGTAATTTATCTCCAGCATAAACAGAGCTCTCCATACCTGAGTAAGTCCTTCCTGTGGGAACTAAAACATTCAAAGGGATCATCAGATAACGTATCAGTGTTTACATGAACAGAGACGTCATGAGATTAGATTAATTATACTTTGAATTACTCAACTAATACTTTTCCTTTTTATCAAAGAGGTGGTTTGTTATGATGGTCTGTATCAACACTAAAATGTATTCATATTGCTTAAAAGGTCAATATTTTGTCACAAATTCCAATGCTGTGAGTTTGAGAGCATCAAGGTGTATTATCAGAAGTTTAATTCACTAATTGTCGGCAGAGGTTCCCTTTAGGTGCTCCAGTTTCCTCTACCACTACAAACAAGTACAATGGGTAAAATCATCCAGCTCCGTTTGTCCAAGACATGTAGAGCCCAGAGTTGTGTCCCTGCCCCGGGTGCTGCACTGTGGGGACCACTGCTGCCACAGAGGATATGTTTTGTACAATAAGTCAGTTTAAGTCACTTGCACTAGGACTAAAACAAAAAACCTGCACTACTTAGTGTGGATGGATAGCTATTTGACCTAGCAGGTCAAGACTGCAAGACTATAATACCGTTTTTTTATATATCACTGGGAGAATAACCGAGTCACACGGATACCGAAATTTCTCCACTGTGAGACTAATAAAGGTTCATCTTATCTTATCTTATCTTATCTTACCTATACAAGGACTCTGATTGTGCATCCATGTTATGACTATGATATGCTCTGAGTGTCTCTGATGTGACACATGTCTTTCGATGTGTGACGTAACAATAACTATATAAATCAGGGGTCACCAACCTTTTGATACCAAGAGCTACTTCACGGGTACTGATTAATGTGAAGGGCTACCAGTTTGTTACACACTTACATACATTGCCAGAAACAGCCAAATTGCTCAATTTACCTTTAACTCTATGTTAACATTAATAATTAATGATATTTGTCTTTGTGGAAAAACTGATCATCTTAATATTTTCTCACAATAAATATATATAGAAACAGATAAATATCAACTCAACTCTTACTCAACTCATAGTCAACTCTCACATTTTTCAATAAATCATGTCACAAATGTGATGGCGATCTCACAGGAGTTTAGAAACCAAAGCGGTCCCATTTACGCTGCTCCTTTCTCCTCTTGAGAACAAAAGCAAAGCTGTTTGAGATCATTACATGTGTTTCTACTGTAGGTTCATGTGACAGTTCTATGGACTCTTCGTTTCAACTCATTTAACTGTGATGTTGTGAATAAAGACACAGTTCTTATTGGAAACATAGTTATTATTAAAGTGTATTCAGCACAAACAGCAAAACAATAAGTGGTAAATATCTGAGACAAACACCAACTATTTACAAGTACAGGAGGAATGCAACAGACGCGATAAGCTACGATTGTAGATTCAAACACAGACAGGAACAGTGCAAAAGAAACGACTGCACAGTTTATAAGTTTATAAATATGTTAGATATGCAACAGAATTCTAGTCCACAGTCTCCGCGTATATCAGCTCTGAGCCACGAGCCCAAACTGCTTTTCCTTCGGTTCCTTCGAAGCACGAAGCAGTCTGCTCCGAAGTGCCTCGTCCATGCTCCCTGCAGCCGCTCCATGCTTCTGTCCAAAACACACACACGGACCAATCACAGCGGAGCTTCTCTCACACACGGACCAATCACAGCGGAGCTTCTCTCACACACAGACCAATCACAGCGGAGCTTCTCTCACACACGGACCAGTCACAGCGGAGCTTCTCTCACACACGGACCAGTCACAGCGGAGCTTCTCTCACACACGGACCAGTCACAGCGGAGCTTGTCTGCGGCGGTGGCCGCGTATATTCGAGGGTGCGTGGCAGGCTACGTAAGGGCGTTGCGGTGATCCACGCGTTGCGCAAGTGACGTCACGTCACCACCTTAAGCTCCGCGCGACTATACACTAGGCTTGAGTGCTTCTATTTGAGCTATTTTTAGAACAGGCCAGTGGGCGACTCATCTGGTCCTTACGGGCGACCTGGTGCCCGCGGGCACCGCGTTGGTGACCCCTGATATAAATCATGAACTGACTCCATTTTGTCGGAGAAAAGAAAGAAACAACAGAAACCACTGGAACTTGAGAGAAACCTAATAAACTTCCAGAGCTTGGCGCACCACGATCCGTCTCTGTCTGGTTCATTGCAGACATACTATTGACACTGTTTCTTTGATTGACACTTTTTAATTGCCACTTTTTATTGTACATAATATATCCTGCATTTAACATGTTTGCACATTTCTTTCTCCTGTGTGACATCAATAAAGTCTATCTTATCTTATCTTATCCTATCTTTAAACCTTAACTGTTATGTCTGGCCCGTCTCACATCATGTATTTTCTAGATGTAGAAAAAATCAGTTATATAAAATATACAGTGCAAAAAGTATGAGGCATGAAAATATCTTAGTGGCATTTTAAGTGATCAACACAACGTGACGTTTGGGAAGTGAAAGCAACATTATACAATACTCACTAAAGTGTGGCATGCAAAGGTATTCACCCCCCTAACTCTATACTTTGTGAAACCCCCTCTGCTCCAGTTTACAGACAAGTGGGGTATATCTCTACCACCTTTGTAGACTTATCGACTTAAAATCCATTGTTCCTTTGTCTTGAGGTCTTTTGGTATCTGTTTTCATTTACAAACACACTCAAACCTATGATTCAACACACAAAAATGAGGAAATTCCAGCTCCTAGCATCCCAGTCTTTCAGAGGTGTAACTGGGAGAAAAGCACAGGACAATTGGCCGTTTCCTCCCAGTGTTATTTGTGATAGAACAACAGGAAACACAGAGGAAGCAGGACTCACATCTGCCCTGACAAAACATTCCTACACAACACAGAGAGCCACAGAGCACAGAGTAAGTCATTTATTAGCCACACTGTCAAACATACACTAGTCCAAGGGTGGCAAACCCGAGGCTCGCAAGCTGCATGTGCCTCTCATCGGGTTTAATAATAACATTTCTAATTATATTTAAAATAGATTTCAGACAGATATATTGTGGTTAGGGTCAAAGCAGTGTTCACTTAGTGAAGTTTGTTTTTACAGAGCGGGTTTAACTTTGCAGGGCATTGTAGGGCAGAACAATATAGACAACATTTCATGTCAGATACTGTCTCTTGTATGGGTTAATTGATAACACCCTACTATGTTTCTCATTGGTTTCTCAAATTAACGTTTGTGGTTGGCTGAATACAATGACGATATGTCATTCAGCTCTCGCGTGCAGCCACATTGGCTGTATATCAATTTCATATGATTGATTTTACTAAAAGTGACAGAAAAAGTTTAATAATCAAGCTTTCAAATCCATCTGTATGGTTTGGGGATTTCTCTTCATTTTTATGGTGCCTTTCACAGACAGGGTCACAAACCGCTTTACAATTGTTGTGGGCATTTAAACTCTCACTCCACAGTGATGGGAGCGAGGTCGTCATACAGGAGGCGCATGCCAGACCTATTGTACATGTTTTATAGGGGTAGGGGAAACCTACGCAGACATGGGGAGAACATGCAAACTGCAAATAAAAAGACCTGAAGCTGGAATCAAACCCTTCTTGCTGTGAAGCACAAGGGCTAACCCAGGGGTCGGGAACCTTTAACACCGAAAGAGCCATTTGATCCAGTTTCCACGGAAAAGAAAACACTGGGAGCCGCAAATACTTTTTGACATTGAAAATGAATTTATTTATTTTGAAGATGGGCTATCATCTTATTTAAAATGAAGAAAACACTGTATATAATTCTTTTTCTTACCTTTACACTTTGTATAAATAACTAAAGAGTGTTGCTTATTAAATCCACGAAGTGGGACAGAGAAAATTAAATTGTATCTATGTTATGAACTCATTTTGAACATTTTGAATTCTTGAAAATAATTGAATGTATTTTTCAATTAAATTAAAAAGCTGAACTTAAACAAACAAAAGGAAAAAAATGCCGTGAACCGTCATTCTTATATCGCCTTTGGGCCTTCAGAGCAAGTAGCGGAGCCTTGACCTGAATTTAGAAAATAAATTGGGGGGAAAGGCACTGTGTCACTAAACAATGAAAAATAAATATTTGCAAAGTATCTGCATAAATATTTATTTTACCTGGTTAATGGGACTTCTGCTCCTGAACCTCTGCGCACAGCGTCTGCAAATCGGGGCTGTACGAAGTCACTCTCATCTTTACGCAGGACTGTAAGCTTTCATCTGTGAGGCGTGAGCGGTGTTTGTTTTTAATGTAGTTCATGGTGGAGAGAATAGCTGCTCACATACATATGTGGATCCAAAGATCGACAGGACTCCAAAGGCATATGTCTTCATGTTCATGTAGGTGTCGGGGATGGCATTCCATGTTTCAAACACGAGTTTGTCCGGTCTTGGAAGGTTCTCAATATCACTCCATTTGTGATTCTGAGCAAGAGTGGCCTTCTGACGGGCAACATCTTCAAGGTCCTCTGTCAAGCGTTTGAATTTGGACACCCACATGTCTTTGTCAGCTATGTCAGCCAGCTCCAGCTCCAGATCAGGTTGACTTACACCTGCAAATGCAGTCACATTTAGCAGGGATGGATCGATGTTCAGGGGAGTGACGGGGAAGGACAATGTGTTTTTTTCCTCTCGGACTCACGGAATCGTTTCCCAAACGATGCTTGCATTTGTGGTGATTGCAGACTGTAAATACTCTGAATTGATCAGCTTGTGACCTTGTTTGAACTCCCTTAAAAAGGGGAAGTGAGACTGTGTGCCTCTCTGTAAATCTCTGGCTAAAACTGTCAGTTTGCGCTCAAACGCTAACACCTCCTCCAGCATGTGTAGCGCTGTGCCTCCTCTCCCCTGAAGGGTTGTGTTTAGCGTGTTCAGGTTCGCTGTCATGTCCACCATGAAGTGCAGCTTTTCCAGCCACTCTGGCTGTTCCAGCTCAGGAAAGGTGAGCCCTTTGCTGCTCATGAAAGTCTTCACCTCTCCCAGACATGCAGCAAAACGTTTCAGCACCTCTCCTCTGGACAGCCACCGGACTCGGTTGTGCAGCATGAGATCAGAGTATGTGCTGTCCACCTCATCCAGTAGCGAACGGAACTGGCGGTGATTTAAACCTTTTGCCATTATTTTATTGACAATCTGAATGACAAGATTCATGACCTCTGTGCATTCTGGAGGAAAAGTTTGCGCGCACAGTGCCTCTTGGTGCAGGATGCAGTGAAAAGTGAGCAGCTGTCTATCCAGTGACTTCTGCAGCAAGGCCACAAAGCCCTTGTGCGCTCCAGTCATACTCGGTGCCCCATCAGTAGCCACTGACACTAGGTGGGTTGTTTTTATTTCTTTGGCTCGTAAACAATCAAGCACGGCCTCACAGATGTCCTCCCCCCGTGTCTGGCCTTTTAGTGGTATCAGCTCAACCATTTCTTCCTGCGGTCCAGCAGAGTTCACATATCGGCAGAACAGCGCTATTTGTTCAATGTCACTTTTGTCTTTGGACTCATCACAGGCGATTGAGTACGCTGCAGCTGAATTTATGTCTTTAATCTGCTGTTTTGTGACATTTTCTGCCATTGTTATGGTTCTGTCTTTGACTGTCCTCGCAGAGAGCGGCATCTCTGATTTTCTGCACAATTTCATGCTTGTTTTTAAAGTCCGCAAATAGGTGTTCTGAAATATTAAGGAATGGTTGTTTTATATTATCTCCATCTGTGAACGGTTTCCCATGCCTGACTATTTCCTGAGCGGCCACAAAACTTGCATATGTAATTGAATTTGCAGACTTCACCCACTTCTTGAGGTGATTTCTCGTCAGATCAGCCTTCCGCATCAGTTCCGAAACCGCTTTCTTTCTCTCTTCTCCTTCTGAATATTTTTCAGCAAAGGCTCTGTGTGTATTGTTGAAATGTCTTGCGACATTTGACCGTTTGTTGTTAGACAGTTTTTCTCCGCAAATTAGGCATACTGGTAGGCCACTCACATCAGAGGTAAACGCAAATGAATCTGCCCAGGCATCATTGAATGTTCTATTTTCTTCAGATATTTTTCTTTTCTTACATTTCTCCATACTTGGCCTTGCTGGGGTTGAAAGTTGCGACAGGTGGACGGCGTTTTGGCGGGTATACCGGCTTTCCCGAGTATGACGTTTCTTTTGAGCGACAAAAAAACAATAAAATATATTTATTCTAATATGTCAAGATCACAATAATCTTCCTATTTAGAACTAAAATATTAAAGAACTAACACAAATAAAATACACTTCAATTAAACACGTGTTTTTTTGTTTTTTTTTCCCAAGCCACTCAGAGCCGCAGTATAAGGATGAAAGAGCCGCATGCGGCTCCGGAGCCGCGGGTTCCCGACCCCTGGGCTAACCACTGCACCCCTGTGGCGCCTGTTCTTTGTGTGATGTTTACACTTGTGTTAGTTGCAACACTTGTGTACCAATAAGCAGAAGAAATGTCCATGTTATCCAATCCTGTTATCGTGTTTTTCACACGATCAGTTTTCAAAAAGGCAGATTAATTGATTTAATGCTTGTATGTTTCTTTATGGGGCGACAGTGGCTCAGTTTGTAGAGCACTGGCCTTTGAGCCTGAAGGTCATGGGTTCGAGTTCACCACAAGACCTACTTCATTACTCCCACTGAAGTCTGCGGTCGTCACTTAACCCCACTTTGCCTGAAGCCCCCGCTGAAAGATCAAGGCTCCTGTGGACTCACCACCTCCAGGAGGATCAGTGAGGGGCTGGTGCCATGTGTACTGGGTGCAGCTTTGACTGCCACCCCCCCGACCCAGAAGTGGATTAAAGGGAAGAAGATGGATTGATGTTTCTTTATACTAACGCCTGCTTTTTATGTCTGTATGTAGCTTTTAATGACCGTTGTCCTGTTTGTAAATGGCTGGGACTACAGATGGAAACTTCCCTTCAAAGTTAATTCTTGCATATTTCCATAGATACATACTAGTGCTGTCCAACGATTAAAATATTTAATCGCGATTAATCGCATGAATTTCATAGTTAACTCGCGATTAATCGCAAATTAGTCACATATTTGTGTGGGTGTGTGTGTGTATGTGTGGGTATAGACCATAGACTGTATAGAAACATCATGGTGGCATTATGATGATGATAAACAATCTGTAAATATTTTGTAAATTTGTTCATGTAAATACTCTATGCTGTTTCTCTGTTTACTTTCGGTATATCTATGACTGTATACTGTTTGCTTGTATTGCCTTTTTTATTAACCCCTCCCCCCCATCTCCCACTTCATGTCCAGTGTTGTGCCAGTTCACAGCTTTTCTGAACTAGTTCAAAGTTCAGTTCATTTTACTTTTTTTGTGAGATAAATACATATTTTTTTCACACTACGAGCTATATATATATATATATATATATATATCTCCTGTACACCCACAGGAGGAGAGTCAGATGTAAATCTGGTCTACAAAACAGACCAGATTTACATGGTTTTCAATGGGAGCCAAACGGAGTTGCTCCATCTCTGCTCATAAACTACAGACAGTAATGCGCTGCAGTGCGTGTGTCTATACTTTAAGTCAAATGTAAACGGTGTAAACTTTGTTGCTAACTCACCCTGTGTTTTCATCACGACTCGGGCACGTGTGAAAAGCACCAGCTCACAGCGCCGCACCGCAACACGGAGTCGGGGTGCGTTCACAGACGGTGGAAACCGTAGGAATTTTTAGATTTCGGCGGAAAAAGTGCGAGAATACAGGAGGGAGGAACTTTCTCTCGTTGCGTTTTAAAAGAGAAAACAGATTCCAACGTTCATAGTGATGTCTGCCGTTCATGACACATAAAATGAACTAATTCACGTTCAAGTTCTTTTTTTTAAAAAATTTGTTGCGTTCAGTTCAACGTTCACGAAAAAATGAGCGTGTTCAATGAACGCGTTCTTTTGAACTCGTTCACGCACAACATTTCTCCTATGTGCCCTTCTGGGTTTCTTCTTTGGCCCCCTGTATCTCCAACTACATATTGTTTGTAATCTCTGTCAACAATGTATCTGAACAAGTCCTTTTCTTTGTTTCTATTTTTTTTTTCTGTATATGTGTTTGTCTGCAATAAAAAGTAAAAAAAAAAAAAAAAATTATTGCGCAATAAAAAATATGACGCCGTTAATATTGATTTGCGTTAACGCGTTAATAACGCGATATTTTGGTCAGCACTAATACATACATGTTGATTAATTTGCAACATGTATGATAAACAAACAAATAAATGCATTTGATCTATGTCCCAGCCCTGGGCCTTTGTGTAGAATAGTCATCGTCTTCTGCACACATATATTTTACTGTACTTGTCCGTGCCTGTGGCTAAGCTAACTCCTGTTTGCTGGAAACGAAAAGCTGATGCGTTTTTGCAAGAACAGGACTGATGCTACATTAAGTTTCCATCTAGAATCAAGAATAATGACAGATTCCCGAGGGAACAATCGTTTGGTCGTATCATTAGTTTGAAGCTCGTCCGCCCAAACTCTAGATTTTAAGCTGATAATGTTATGATAGAAAAAAGTGGAAATAGTTAACCGGAAACAGCATCTCAGTCTATCGCAAACCATGAGTAATGATATATTTGTTGAATAAGAAACCAGACCATAAACACATAATGTTAGCTACGTGAGCTGATAAAAATCCAATAGCTTTCGTTAAAAATACACTAGTATTATGCCCTAGTTCCTCTTATCTTTGTGAGTAAAAACCTGTCTCTTTTCAGCTTCACAGGGAATACATCTGCTCTTAATTATGATTAAATATGACACAAAGCCTCACTTCCCACATGCTCAGACAGACTAAAACATAGAGCCGCACTTTTCTAATTGCAGAACTGTGTCAGATGGCCCCGTATCAAAGTGCTGCTCTAAACCGCTGTTAACAACTGACATGACATCTGGGCTCTACGCTGCATTCAAGGTCACTCTGGATGATAGGGACGCTGGGACGCTGGGACGCTGTCTGCAACAGGATGTGCTCAGTTATGGATGTCTTGATGAAGTCATAGTTTCAAATAGAAAGCTAGGAAAATGGAGATAAGCAACTTTTACTTTTTTAACATACTAGGCCTACTATCCCAACTTTGAGGTGGAATAATGCTACCACTTTCTGGGCCTATATTTACCCGGTAATGTTGACAATTGTACCCTGACAAAGGGTTTGTTGTATACACTATAGTCCAATTTATCAAATTATTCAGTTACGAAAAAGTGCTGATTGCAATGAATCTGTACTGTGTCATTCTATAATGACTTAAAACCATGGCATGGAGCCCTTTTACATTAAAGGACTTTATAGTCATAACAATAATTAAGAATAATGTATCGGTTATATAAAGCACTTTTTTTGGACACTCAAAGGCGCTTTACATGTCATTATTCATTCACTCCATACACGGTGGTGATAAACTACTATTGTAGCTACAGCTGCCCTGGGGCACACTGACAGAAGCAAGGCAACCAGTATGTGCCATCGGCCCCTCCAATCATTCACACACACCAGACTCATTCTAAGCAATGTGGGTGAAGTGTCTTGCCTAAGGACACAAGGGCAGTTTGGCACTTTACAGCCGCAGCCGCCCCACTCTGGCATCAGGTGTTCCCAGACGTTAAGTCGGTGGAGAAAGTCTTGTGGTGGAGAAAGTCAATTCAAGTCAATAAACTCCTCACCAATTGCAGTTCCATTTTTTCACAAAAGTAAGTAAAATAACTTCTAACCCGTGGCATTTGATGTCTTGGAATGAAAAATCTGGAATGCAACAGTCAGTGTAAAGAATGTTACCCGGTTTTACAGTGTTATGCATGGAATTACAAAAATGTGTGGCAGAAATGGCAAAAAAAACACTAGGGGTGGGAACCTAAGGGTACCTCACGATACGATACACAATACAAAGCTCACGAAAACGATAATATCACAATAACGATTTGTTATATGCCATTCGCCATGTAACAAAATGTGAACAGAACATGAGAGCAGACTCTATGGCTGAAAAATTACTTTCCAACAACGTTGCTGGTTTTTGGAATGAAGTCCGAGCTCTAAACAGAGTTAACACGCTACTGCCCAGTGCTGTAGAGGGAGTGCCTGGGGATGAAGGCATAGCTGAACTATGGAGACAGCACTACTCTGCACTTTTCAATTGTGTGCAAAGTGAGCCCTATAAAGTGGGTAATCTGGATGATCGGGATGTAGTGACTATTACACCACGAGAAGTCCAGGAAACAATTGCTCAACTGTCTGACAACAAGGCTACTGGCCCTGACAAAATCACGGCAGAACACCTGAAATATGGCAGTCCAAGAGTTGCTGTACTGCTGGCATTATGCTTCACCGAGTTCATGACCCATGGGCTTCTTCCTGACTCGTTACTGTCTGTCACTCTAGTGCCTGTCATTAACGATAAGGCTGGCAAAGTTGGGAGTTTAGATAACTACAGGCCGATAGCTTTAGCTAGTGTGATATCTAAAGTCCTTGAGAAGATACTGCTGGGTCGCTTGAGTCACTGCATAAGAACAACAGACAACCAATTTGGATTTAAATCCAAGTTGGGGACAG